GCTCTTTAAATCACCGCTGGAGCCCTGCTGCTGCTACCCCGATATAACGGGGTTTCACCTGTAACGCAGTAGGGATTTTTGGCTCCCAAGGACCGTGTTATATCGGGGTAGAGGTGTATGTAGTCTAAACCCAGTGTGGGGTATTGTGCTGCTCTCTTGAATAGTGTAGAATCTGGATGTATTTTTTACAGCCTTCCTTTAGAGATCGTTTTAATGCACACATCAACAAACAGCATATAAAATTAATGTCCACCAAGGGCTTTCAGCAAATAGTAAGGCAGATTTAGCTAAATTACAGTACATCTCTTGTTATTATGTTACAGAGATAGGCATTAAAAAGGGAACATTTTTCTTACTGTGTGTATCTCATCACAACATTGCAGTCAAAAATAGGAAAATATCACAGCTTCTCATATTACGATAATATGTCTTTTTCTTTTGTTGGTGACCTACAAAGTGGAAAAAAACAGTGTGTGTGTCCAAAGGTTTGGATTTTTTAAAAAATCTGCTTGTTGTTTACATTAGAGATCCAGGTCTTATCTACCATGAGCTTTGTGCTGCACTGTTACAGAAATCTAGATAGTTCCTGCCCCCAGAGAACTTGTTCTTCACTGAAATACTCCAAGATTACATTTTCAAAAGTGCCCACTGAAAGTCTCAGTTTTTGGTGCTCAACTCAAAGCACATAAATGGTCCCAAAATCACTTACCACTCTTGAAAATGTAAGCCCACATTTCTAATAGTAGGTCATTAAACAATAAACCGGTAGCATGGAGCCTATTTATTACAGTGTCACTAGTTTCAGTGCTGCTACAGATAAAGTTTTGCCAGCACTTTCACTTTAATCTCTGTTTGTCATTAGTTTATATAACACAGCTGTAAATATTTTCTCTGGTTGAAACTTGACATTTCAGGGAAGAAATTGTAAAAGAGTAGCTTGGCTATTTTTGAACAATATAAGACTAACGAAGCTCGGAGTTTTGCATGTAAAATGTTTGCTTAACTGAGTGATAGTTTTTATTTAAATAGAGAAAAAAACACAAAGCACACTGGACAGAAGTCTGCAATTAAACAAAATGCCATTTTAATGAAATTGAAAGAGGATAATTAGTCACGATTTTGCTGACATGTTCTCTGTGGTTTTTACATTGTGAATATGGATCAGATCCATTAACAATGGGAACATCCACTGACATGAATCTGTGTCCTTGTGGATCAAAGACCTTATCCAAAGCCCATTGTGGTTAATGAAATGCTTTCCATTGATTTCAGTGGGCATTGGATCAGGCTGCAAATCTTGGTCTGATTTAAATCAATGGGAGTTTTTCCATTGATTTCTGTGGACTCCAGATTTGGCCCTGTATCTTTAATGCCTTTTGTCCCACTTTTGAGGCAGCTGTTCAGAGCCCCTTTCTGAGGGCAGCTGGAGTTGGGACTGAGAAAACATCTGGGTAGCAGCTCAGAGAGTGTCTCCATGTCCTGGATGGTTTACCAGTGTTTGTTTGTTTTTTAACACAAGTTATGAATCTTTCTATTAATCTGAGCTGTCTGTTCTACCACAGTATCATCCCTGTTTCTGCTGAGACTGCAGAGGCCACACCATGACACAAAAGCACTGTACTCATCAGCCTGATCTACTACAGAAAAATCTTCTGTTGCTGACAACGGATGTCAGCACAAGGCTCAGTGCTGCTTCAGCTGCACACAGTTCACTTGAGAATGTAGTCCAAGAGGAAAGGGCTGGACATGGCTTGTTCCAGTCTTCATTTGCATTTAAACCATGTACATCTGACCCAATGCCGAACCTGTTGCTGATACCCATTCTAGTGTAGACCAGGACACAAATAATGTCTGTGAATTAATATAACCTGCCTTTTAGGCATCTGGAGCCATATTCAGGGGCCAGAAACTCTCATTTACTTATGTCCCTAAATTGGGATCTTGGTGCCAAATATCAAATGCATTCAAAAATGTTGGCCTTAAACTGTATGGGGTGAGTCTTGTGAAACGATGATTCCTACTTTAGTCAGTGGAGACTCAGGGCGCTCAGCACCTTTAATGGGAGTTAGGCACCTACATACCTTTCAGGATCTCAGCCAAGTTCAATATGGGCTAAATAGTGGTCATATTTATGTCAAGGGGAGTTTTGACACTGACTTCAATGGAACCAGTATTGGGTCATCTGTGTATTTCCATCTGTAAAATGTGGATAATAATATTTACTTACTTCCCAGGGATGTTGTGAAGATTAATTAGTTAACGTTTGTAAAGTGCTATAGTCTTTAAGTGTTTAGAATTATTACATTGGCTGGGGGAATGGACTAGATGTCCTAACTGATATCGTATGAGTCAATGAAGTTATATAATTACATGGTACATCTGTGCAAGTGCATCATACTTGCCGTACACAAACTACATTCTCACATATTTACTAGGGATGGGTGAACTGGCTCAACTAAAGTAAGAAGAGGCACAAACCTTTGGCTATCACTCAAGTCTAACAGCGTCTAAATCTTACAGCTGTCTGTGCTCTAGCACTTCCTGGCATAGGTTATTCTGGAAATATTAATTAATGAATTGGCCCAATGGAGGAAATATTGAAAATCACTGAAAGAAACATATTTTTGTGAGATTTTCAACCCAATTTCTAGGCTACAGTGGCTGCAATGCTTCCCTTCCTGCATCAAACCATGTGGGGAGTGTATGATTCCTTCCAGAATTGTACAGCCTGTTGAGATTTGCTGGCACAGAGCATTATTTTCAAAATAACTCGAAATATTAGCATAAATAGCTACATTCTAGATCCTGCTCTCATTTACATCCATGTAATCCATTGACTCCATTGGGATTGCATGAATTCACAGAACTGGGTCCAATGTTTACATTCTGGGTTCCAGTCTGCTCTGAAATCCTGTGTAGGTTCACATTACTATCAGTGCTGAAAAGTGTTCTAAGGACAACTGTAGAAGAGTAAGCTTGAGTCATTAGAGTGGAGGATTACAAGTCTGGAGATATTGGTTCTCTTCCTCATTCTGCTACTGACACACTGTGTGATTTTAGGCAAGTCACTTTGCCTCTCTGTGACTCAGTTTCTTCATCGCTAAATTGAGGATAATAATACTTGCCCATAGTTGTAAAGTGATTTGAGATCCTTGGATGAAAGTGGAAGATTATTATAAATCCATTTTAGTGGCACAATAGCAAATACTTCTAGATCCCTGGTTAAGTATGCTTTGTGTATAATTATTATTTAGTGTTTATATTGCAGTAGTGTTCAAAATGTGTTAAACATTGTATGAACATATAGGAAGATACACTCCCTGCCCCAAATATAATCTAAAAACACACAGAAGGAAATGAAGGGCAGGGGGAATTGCTTGGATATAGTACCCAAGCAAAGTGTTCATGCTGATGGCAATCACATGTGTGTGAGTGTGTGTGTGTGTGTGTACACATACACACATCCATTTCTATATATTTGTTAGTCCTATCTTTAATTAATTTCACTATTTGTTTTAAACTGGGTTTAAGAGGTTAGGGGGCTCACTGGGGTGGAAATGAAGGAGAGTGAGGGCTTGTCTATACTTACGCGCTGGTTCGGCGGCAGGCAATCGAACTTCTGGGTTCGATTTATCGCGTCTTGTCTGGACGCGATAAATCGAACCCAGAAGTGCTTACTGTCGACTCCGGTAATCCTGCTCGGCGCGAGGAGTACGCGGAGTCGACGGGGGAGCCTGCCTGCCGCGTCTGGACCACGGTAAGTTCGAACTAAGGTACGTCGACTTCAGCTACGTTATTCACGTAGCTGAAGTTGCGTACCTTAGTTCGAATTGGGGGGTTAGTGTAGACCAGGCCTAAGAGATTGTGGGACTAACAGAGGGGAGTGAGCAAAGAGAGAGGAAAACAGAGGGAGATGGAGGTAAAAAGGAGCAAGAGGATGTGAGAGAGAAAGAAAGAGAAACATGCATAGATGGAGGGTGTGAGGTGGAGGAACTGAAAGGTTGCCATGTTAAGAGAAGAGCAGGGTATAGCAGGACCAACAACCAATGGCAATAAAGGAATAGATTAAAAAAAAACCTAGAGTCAATGTCTCATACCAGATTGCATGTGAAGGTCAGGAGGCTGTGAAGACTCCTTCTAGCTGTTGCTCGTGCTCCCAATATGCAACAGAAGTCCACTAGGTCTGGTGTCTGGTGTGGGAAATCAGGAGTCTGGAAGGTCCTCATTTATCCCCTGTGCCCTCGACTGTAGTTCAGATTCGACTCAAATCTTCATTCACTGTTGGCTTTACTTCTTCACAGTGGTGTTAGTTAAGGAGGGAGCATCTACTTTAACTTGGAATTTCTTGGATTCTGCCTGTTTGTATCGCAGCTGTAATGCTCTTTAAACACATTACTGTGTGTGTTTTGTATTAGTTTGTTTTAATGTTGTTTATACCCAATTGTGCTGCACTACATTGGCCCATGATGTACTGTTTGCCAGTGTTTCCAACTCTCGCAATTTCTTCACGTCTCATGATATTTGGTGTTTTTCTTAAAGCCCTGGCTCTCTGGGAATCATGTGATTACATGAGAATATCAACTTTAAAAAAAAAGTATACGTTTTTAGCCCTTAAGGTGGCAAAGAGAAGCTTGAAAATCTGACTGGTGGGCACCCTAAAGGCTCAAATACTGGAAAGCAAATAAAAAGAACTCAAAATTAATTATTTTTGTAAAATCCCATGACTTTTTGAGCCTGACTCATGATATTTGAATGTTTGGGGTTGGCAAGGCTCATAATATTAGAGTTTTTTCCTTCTTCTTTTGTATGGCAACTTGAAAAGCAACATTAAAAGTCAATGTCCAAGTTTGTTATCTCCTCTATGGCTTTTGGTGACATGGAATGAATCAAGGCAGTCTCCCTGGAGAAGGATTTTAGAGGGCAGCAGTTCACTAGATGTTCCATGGTTTGGATGTCTTCTCCACATTCACATAGCAGGCTGTCCTTCATTTGACACTGTGAGTAGGTAACTGCAATGCCTATGTGAGATTCTGATGCAATTTGCTGTGATTCTTATCTTACATAATGTGGGAAAGTCAGCTGGTTGGACTGTAGGATCCATAATCAGGTCCTGATTCTTGACCCCTCTGTTTTCCCACAGAATCCACCACTTGTCTTTTGATGACAGGCTGCTGACCAGAAAGGGTTCCTGGACTTAAGATGGCATCTTGGAGGTGACTGGAGATCTGCATAGATAGGCAAATCTGGGTTCATTATCACGCAATCCTATTCTCATATTATTACTGCTTCTCTTCAGAGGAATGGATAAAAGAGTTATGAAAACTATAAAAGTAAAAATGCACAAAACTTTCCCATCATACACCAGCCGCAGCAAATCAATGTCTGCTCTGAATTTATTGCAGCATCCCTAAGCAGATTGAATGGCAAAATGGTACTATTACTCCTGATTATAAACTGGCTGTATAAGATCTGTTATAAATACCCCATTATATAACATGCTGTACAGTACAACACCTACTATCTTAATGTCATTCAATTCTTTGGTTTTAAAAATAGTGCTCTCAGCAGAAAAAAAAATCCAGTCTGACATCTGGAAGGAAATATAGGAAGGAAATAACTTCAAGAGGCTCAACTAATAATGGGTTATGATGTTACACTTCAGGGAATCATTAGGAGTTGTCCTGAAGTTTAGATTAAAATTACCCTGATCTATTAAAATATTTGGTTAGGTTCTGGTCCCTGTTCCAGCTCCTTTGCATGACTTTGGAGGAACAAAGGGGCCATAAAGCTGCCCTACTGGGGCAACTGAGTGCTACCCTAGGGCAAGGGAATCAGGGTCAGCAGTCATCTCTGTGCTACCACCTCCTAGACCCCTCAGTGCAAGGGGTGTGTCAGCGATGGGAGGAGTATGACCAGAGCATGTTGCACTCCAGTGATCTCTGCCCAGTGTAAAGGACCTTAGGGGACTTTACCAGCTAGCAGAATTTAGGGCTTGAATTGAAGTTGAATTGATTTAATTTAAATCAGTTACAGTGATGCAAACCCCATGTGTGGATACACTTACATCGTTTAAACCTGCCTTACATCATTTTAGCTTGATAGATTAGAAACCCTACAATGGACAGTTCTGGATAGGAATGTCCAAACACACAGCTGTACCACTTCAACTCAATTGGTTTAAAACTACAATTTTGGTTAAATTGGTGCATGTTTATGTGTAGAGCAGTTCGGGGGCTGCTCTAAGTTACACTGGGGATCCAGTCCCCACCAGCCTTGGGAATCAGGGTAGTGCAAACGAGGCTTAAAGCTACTCTTGCCTCCCCCTCCCCTCAGCTGCACTGAGTGGAACACTGGCCCAGCTGAGGCTCTGGCCCATTTTGTATTAAATGCTAAAGAGTAGGTCAAGTTAATCATCATCTCCATTTAAATTGAACAAAGAAAAACTTCTTTTAACTAAGTATGAAAGTCTTCTATCCCCATATTCTGTGCTGTGACAGAAATTCTGGACTCTGCCACATGAGAGTACACTGCTGTGACATTTACTAAATGGGGTAAATGAAATAAAATCGGAAATAACTAATCCACACCATTTCAACAGAGACAAACTAGTTCAGCACACTGTGTGTCTGCAAAGCAGTACAAACAAGGATTTCCTCACAGGTGGAAACAATGAATCAGCTCTGCAAAGGTAATTTTAAATTATGATATAAACAACTGGGTATGCATATGTGTAAACACAGCCAACTCAGAATACCATACATGTGATTATAGAGAATAAAATGTGTGCATTTCAAGGTACACCTCTACCTCGATATAACGTGACCCGATATAACACAAATTTGGATATAATGTGGTAAAACAGCGCTCCGCGGGGGGAGGAGGGGCAGGGCTGCACGCTCCGGCGGATCAAAGCAAGTTCGATATAACGCAGTTTCACCTATAACGCGGTAAGATTTTTTGGCTCCCGCGGACAGCGTTATATCGGGGTAGAGGTGTATAAGTTATTTAATCAGCTCTAACAATTACTTGAGACTGTAAATTGATGAGTGTCTATACAGCTCTTCAGTGGTCTGAGTGGCTTATACATTTTTAGCTGAAAGCAAAACCTTTCTCTAGGTGAGACATATGTTACTTGATGAGTTAATTTATACTTAATCTCTTTGATCAGTTTGGCATTTTTTTTGTAGCCAGCATTTGCTCTAATATCAGGCATATTATGTATGGTGGCCAATAATATCCTGTGGGTCCTCTGTCCTTCATATCTTGGTCTTATCTAACCTTGTTTTGGTCAGGTCTTACTTCCTTTACTTCTCCAGATTGGTCTAGCCAGGGGAACTTCTCAGGCCTACCGAATCAAGGCAGTCTGGACTCGAGTCCTTTGGAATGATCAGGTACACCTCTTGAGTGGTGGAGGGTCTATAAAGCTTGTTAAGTCAAGAATACGATCCTTCATATGGTTTTTTCGATAGTCAGTCACTATCTTTCACTGGAATGCTAACATAGGAATTGCCATATTGGTTCAAACCAGTGGTTTATCTAATCTGGTACCCTTTCTAGGACAATGGCCAATACCACATACTTCACAGGAAGGTGCAAGGAACCCTGTGATGGACAATTATGGAATTACCTTTTTGTAGTAGTTGGCTTATACCCTGAAGCATGAGCATTTATATTCCTTACCAATTTCTGTTCTATATAACTACGCTTCCCCTCACCTGTATAGCTGTTAAACTAGTAAGCATAAGTTTCCTGCCTTTTTTATGTATATACTTTAGCAAAGCCATGAAGCCAAGGGTGGAGGGGAAGGGAAACCCCTGTACTCTTCTGTATTTAGTTAATCTTCTGATCACCTGTTACATTTTGTATCTGACTAGCATTGACTATAAGACCCTCAAGAAAGGGACTGTCTTTCTCTCTGTCTGTATAACACTGAGTACACTATTGGTTTTAAACACTGACATCTCATTAATACCTGCTCACTTTCCATTAATGGTGGCTAATGGTTCACAGCTCATGTGCTCCATATATTTTAACATTGTTTTCTGATGGCTAATTTTCAGGCCTGGCTCCAGCTTACCAGTTACAGAGTCTCTGCCTCTCCCCTCTGATGACGTCCCTTGCCTTACTAGCACTTAACTCATAAACATTCCCGCTCCTCTTGCCTTTAGACTTCTAGGGTCCCTGCATAGCCCTTATCTTTTTCTTTACAGATCATTATTAATTTTCTAATAAATGGCACCTCCTAAGGGCTAGATGGTGAGGGCACTATCCTACAACTTAGGAGACAGTAGATCAAATCCTTATTCTATCGCAGACTTCCTCTGTGACCGTACATAAGACACTTAAGCTTTGCTGTGCTTTAGTTCCCCATCTGTAAAATGGGGATAATAGTACTTCCTATCTCACGGGGGTATTGTGAAGATCATGGAGACCACATAAGTACCTGAGATAGATAGTGTAATTAGTGCTGCTTAGCTAGGACAAGATAATCAAGAAGGCTGAAAACAGAAAAATGGACAGTATTGAGGCACAAACCATTGGATAGGCTTCCATGTCCCTTTCAGGGGGATAACTCGGTGGTCTAAGTGTCAGGTTTACAGATTCAAATCTTTGAGGGTCAGCTAAACCTTTTATTCTTCTCAGAGAGACAAAACGGAGTATCACAGAGTGCACTGTCTGAGGGTATTTTGGATGAAACCTGCAGAGGTGAAGTCCTGCCTGCTCTTCAAGTTCTATTCCGTAAAGTTACTCCACAGGGCAATGTGGCGTGTTGCATTTATTGTCTCTCATTGATTCCATAGCAGATTTGTTCTGACAAGTACAAATGTGTATTTTCTAATGGCCAGGCCATTCAGTCTAGGATCAGATGTGAAAGGCACACTGGGCTTTTTCTGGCTCACCCATCATCAACACTAAATATTGTGCAGCAGAAACTTACAATTCTATACATGATGCAGGAGCCAGAATATAAGTCAGCTCACACTTTCTTGGCTGTGCAATTTCTTCCATGTTAGCAGGAATAAAAAGCAGCAAAAACGTATGTAATCACTAAACTCACCAGCTGTGAGTCACATCCCGGGAGCAGGTCTGTTGACTAAGAAGATACCATGTATACACAGTCACTTTTCAGAGTAAAAGAGCACTTTAAAGATACCGACACACTTTTTGTGAGAAGGGGTTTGTTTTGGTGTCCTTGGCCAAAAATATCCCCTTCCCTTATTCTTTCATGACCAATATATGCCAGCTGGCTTTCACCCTCCATTCCAGAGATGTCTGTATTTCAGTGCTGTTGTTTATATAAAGTTTGTGAAGTGATTTAGGATCCTTTGGGATGAAATGTGCATTGTCCTGGTCCAATGATTCTTTAATTAGTTATACACAGAGATGGAGAAAGGCCCACTTCAGAATATCTCACAGCCTAGTGGTTGAAGTGTTCACCTGAGAGAAGGGAGGCCTCTCCCCATTTGAATCCTTTCTCCCTTTCAGACAGAGTGAAGAATTGAACTTGGGGTTCCCACCTCCCCGTGAGTGTCCTAACCAGTGGACTAAAAGTTATAAGCTGGGTGGCGGTGGCTCCTCTTCTGGCCAGATTCTGAATGGAAGTCATTCTGGTAAGTGGCCTCTGAGCATGCCTATTGAATCAGACACCACCAGTGAAACAGGAGTTCTCCTGCTTTATGCATCGCACTGGGGCTTGGGCATCTGGATGCCTAACGTGCGGCAGAAGTGCACATGTCCAGGGGCAGAAACATAGGTGCTTAGGGAACTTTTATAGTGACCTTGTAGGTGTGGAGTGAGTTTAGGCACCTACAGGGTTAGGCAGCAGCTAAGCAGGGGGGTTGTGAATACTAGTGGTGTCTAAATGTTGGACTCAGGTGCCTAAAGTGACAGTTAGGTACCTAAATCCCTTTATGAATCTAGTCCTAATTCTAGTAATATTAATAATGATAACTTCTTTCTTTCTGGACTTAGGTCAAGTGTTCCTACAACTGGGGCTAATGGACAAATTCACCACTTCCATAAGTAGATATAGCCTCACTGACTTCAGCGGAATTGGGCTTTCTTTCATGAGAAGGAAATTTGGTCCATTGTGTTTACTTATGGTTATTTATTTTGACTTACTAAGTGCCTCTCACAGCCTCTAAGCACTGTACACTGTTAGAACTAGCCAGTACAAAATGAAACATTCACAACATAGGTAGCAAGTGACCCATGCAATGTATTTTATTTGCTTGTCTGAATAATAAAAATCCCCTCTACATTTACACACAGTAGCTCTTAAATCACTCAACTGCCAAATGCCTAGGACAATAGATGAGCTTTGCAGACAAATCTGGGTTCTGGCAGACCAGTAATGTGGAGGGGCAAATTGTAGAGGCAAGGACCACACTTATAAAATGCACCCCCAGCAGCCTCTTTCTTTTTAAATTGGGGCTCACGTATTTCTGCTGACTGCAGTGGGGATGATATCACATGGCAAGAGAGTTCTCTTAGGGATAATACACACACACACACACACACACATACATAGAAAAATGAAATGTGTAAAAACAGTGGGTTGGCTAATCCTTGTGCCACAAGATCAGCTGAAGCTGAAATTTCACCAGTACCCGTTCTCCTCCTGAGCCGCAAAGAAACACCATGCTACCATTTGTAATTTTATAAACAGGAATATTAAAAGCCTTTCAGCTTTGCTTCCTGCAGGTGATTCTACCCAGATAAATATCACTGCCTGTTGGAGCAGCAATGGGAGGAAAAAATGAAAGGGAATTTCTTTTTTCCAAGACACACTGAGCCTTGAAATGTATTCAAGTTCAAAATGTGCAACATGAGCAGCACATTTTCTCTAAAGCTGCTTCTTTCGTGAGTGCCTCCCACTGGCACTGTGACAAGCCAGAGCAGCAGTGCGGGGAGAAACACTGCATAGGATTTCCTTGTCGGAACAGAGGCAGGAGGCAAAAAATGAAAGAACTGTGGGCACTTGCTCTTGGGCAAGGAAAATTAACACCGGAAGAATCAGACTGATGCCCCAAATGTGCCAGGTGACAGATGCTGAAAATGGGATATTTTCTACATTACAATATATAGCAGGGGTGGGCAAACTTTTTGGCCCGAGGGCCACATTGGGGTTGCAAACCTGTATGGAGGGCTGGGTAGGGAAGGCTGTGCCTCCCCAAACAGCCTGGCCCCCACCCCCTATCCGCCCCCTCCCACTTCCTGCCCCCTGACTACCCCCCACAGAATCCCCAACCCATCCAACCCCCCCTGCTCCTTGTCCCCTGACTGCCCCCTCCCGGGACCCCCGCCCCCTATCCAACCCCCCTGCTCCCTGTCCCCTGACTGCCCCAACCCCTATCCACACCCCCGCCACCTGACAGCCCCCCAGGACTCCCACACCCTATCTAACTGCCCTCTGCTCCTTGTCCCCTGACCACCCCCTCCCGGGACCCCCCCCCCCCCGACCCCCCCCCTGCGATCCCACCCCCCCGCTCCCTGTCCCCTGACTGCCCTCCCAAGCCCTATCCACATCCCTGCCCCCTGACAGACTCGCCGGGATTCTCAATCCCAACCCTCCCTGTTCCCCATCCCCTGACCGCCCCCCCACAACCTCCACCCCATCCAACTGCCCCCTCCTCCTTGACTTCCCCCCACTCTCTTAACCAACCCCCATGCTCCCCGCCCCCTTACCAGCAGCAGGAGCTCGCAGCCGCGACACCTGGCCAGAGCCAG